AAAATTATGTACAAAGGCACTGCTTATTTCTTTAAGACAGTCTTTCTCAAAGTGGGCGATAACGCCCCCTGGGGGGCGTTTGAAACCTAGAGGGGGGCGTTAAGGGGCCCAGGAAAAAATGGGGGGCGTTGATGAGGGTTAGGGGGGCGCTGTAAAATTTGTAATTTCATTTACTTTATAGTATTTTAAATTTTACTAAAATTAACTCGCCTACTGCACAATAACGAATAATTAGTTTATATTTCTACCCTGTATGATGTTATAAAAACTTAAAATAATTAACATACATTTCGTAGGATAGCCCACACACCGTACGCAATCAAGTTGTAACAAGTTTCTGCGGAACATGATCAATGATAGTTAAAAAATTAGAGCAATTTTACCTTAATTACATTGCACCAGAAATTATTTTAAACATTAGAAAAAAAACTACCATGCAGAGTTTTAAAATATTACACATACGTAAACTAACACAAATTGAGGTTTTCTTTACTTTCTTTCTTATTTTTAACATAAGGGCATTTTAAAGCATTTTCCTAGCATTTTATAAGAAATTACTGATGTAAGAATCATAATTTTTATATAAAATGGAAATGCGTATATAATTATTGTTCAAAAAGTTGTCTTAGATTATTATTTTTTACAATTTATCCATTACCGTCCAATGTCAAATAGTATAGTATAGTAAGCCTAAACAGCTCACTTATTGTAAACATTGTTTACTATTTTCTTTCTATATAATAATAGGTTGGGGAAAAAGTTTCTTCGCATTTTTTAAGAAAATTCACAACATTTTTTAATATAGTTTATTCACATTTAAGTAAAGTATGTCGGTACCATTTTGTTCGATAACTTTTTGCCATCTTGTAGGTAGGGACATGATCCCATTGCTATAGAAATTTTGGGGCTTCTGATCAAAATACCGCGACAATTGGTTTTGGCAGTCCTCTCGTGATGTTAACCTGACGCTGCCTAAAGGATTCTGAAGAGACCGAAACAGGTAGAAATCTGAAGATGCAAGGTCAGAACTATACGGCGGATGCATTAACACCTCCCAGCCAAGCTCTCTTAATTTTTGCTGAGTGGCTAAAGATGTGTGAGGTCTAGCATTATCGTGATGAAAAACCACACCCCTTCTGGTGATTAATTCCGGCCGCTTTCTCTCAACTTCTTGCTTTAATCTCATCAGTTGTTCGCAGTAGAGTTCAGAATTGATGGTCCTGCCTGGTGGTAACAGCTCATAATGTATAATGCCCTTCCAATCCCACCACACACACAGCATCACCTTGTTGCGAGTTAACCCGGGTTTCGCCAGAGTCTGTGAAGCCTGACCGGCCTTGACCACAAGCTTTCTCGTATGTTCTTGTCGTACGTGATCCACTTTTCATCACCAGTTATCAGCTTCTTCGAAAATGGTTCGGTTTCATTACGTCGTAATAAAGAATCACAAATGAGTACACGGTTCATTAGGTTTCTTTCAGTGAGCTTTTTTGTGTACCCAGTTTTTTCAAATGCGCCATAACTATTTTGTGGTCAATTCCCAGTTCTTCCTGTTCTTCAGTTACGTTGTAACTACATTACTGATATGACGATCTTGCCCCACTTTTTAAAAAATGGCATCGATTTTATCCGTAATAAGGCGACCAGAGCGACGTGCATTTTTGACATCAAAATTTCCGGATTGAAAACGCTTAAACCAAATTTGTGCTACTCTCACAGACACAGCACTAGGTCCATAAACATCGCAAATTTTTTTCACGGCTTGCGTTGCTTTTTTACCTTTTTTGTAGTAAAATTTTAAAATGTATCGAATATCTTCATTAGATTCACTCATCTTGAATCACCCTCCCCCTCGGGACGCCGGACTGGCGGTCGTCGGCGCCACGACCACCTGCCCTCTCGGTCGGCAGGCTGTCCGAAGCCCGCCTAGATGGCGCCGGTTAGAATGGTCTATCCTACGGAATACCCCGCTGGGTCAGAACCAGGGTGGGTTGGGGATAGCCGGCTTTCCATCACCCGGATGCTCATACGTAAAACGTATGCAGAGCAGCTTGCACGTCGTCTTCTTAGGGCCCCTTCGCCGGTCCCCAGGCCGACATGTGAGGGAGACCCGAAACACTTAGAGGGCTAGGGCTTAGGCGAGATCCGCCTCCCTGGACCCCGCTCGACGGGGGCGGGCCTGTGCATCTCTCACGCGCCCCACCGCCTCCTTTTGCGAGATGGTGCACTCGCAGAAGTCGAGCATCGCCTTCCACGACTCGTCGTCACCGAGCATCGATGCCAGAACACTCGGCAACGACAAGTCGTTTCCTATTTTTGCGACGAGGACACGCCGCCACCCCTCCCATGCGGGGCAGGCGACGAGCGTATGCTCTGCCGTGTCCAAGTCGCAACCACAATGGTGNTGGCTTGCTGTGGGACGACTGTCAATGACGTGCTTTTATCTGCGAGAATGCGGGGATTGTGGTAGCCGAAATTCTTGATGCGCTGATGATGAATCAGAAGGTTGCGTGTGTTCATATCACGTCGGGGTCACCAGTTTGTAAGAATATACGACAAAGGGAAGATCTTCCACCGAGCGGGTGATATTTGCTCGGTAGACCGACGGTCCGAATGTTGTTGTTCGGATCTTGTATATATGCGCTTTATCTTGAAAATGTCGTAAGCGAGATTCATGCATCTGTCAATTATCTTGCGTTGTGTGATGGCTACCGCCACAAGTTATTATTGTTAGTAGTATTATTTACTAGTCGAAATATAAATTTTTAATTATCTTATGATGAGAATCTTATATTAATGAGAAAGATATTCAACAAAAATAGTTTCGTTCTAATAAATTAGCATAGTAATAGTACAGTGAACTAGCAATTTATTTTGGTGATTCTGAATTTAAACAAAGATATTGATGAGAAGAATTCATTTTTACTTTGCAAATTTGTAAATACACGCTCTGTAGCAATGTACGGACATAAAATAATATGAAGAAACAATAATAGCATCTACAAATACATAATTATGTACTACGTGGTACTACATTTACTAAAACTAATACAACATTTATTAATTAAATTAATGAAATTGTGGTTTTAAAGTGTTAGGGGTGTATAAAAAATGGGGGGCGCTGAAAAAGAATTGATTTTCAAAGGGGGCGGTAAAAGAAATAAGTTTGATAATCACTGCTTTAAGAGATCTCTTCCAGCAGACCTGCGAGAGGATTATGAGAATAATAATTAAAAATGATGAGTGTGTGTGTAGAACAGCTAAAATAAGAAATACAATATGAGAATTATAGTTATGCACATACACATAGCAAATATTGTTAATTACTACTACTTATTTGAATACAAAATATTATAAGTAACACAGTATATACGAAGAGTATAGAACAATGATCATTCGGTTGATGAGAGATAACATTTTTTGACCTTGTATTTAAAAACAGAACAGACTTACAAACTCGGATATCAGCCGGCAACGAATTCCACGGTCTGACCGCGTGCACAGTAAATTCAAATTCAAAATCATTTATTTCAACTTAGATGTCAGTATGACACACTTGTTGAATGTCAAAATACAAATAACAATGTTAACTCTACCACCGGTTCCAAAAAAAGCCACAGTCCTGAGAAGAACCGGCGAAACAAACTCAGCGGGCTTTTTTTTTTGTTTTTTCTCAAATATTTTCTTTTTTTTAAATAAATAGAAATATTCACAATAAAAGAAAAAACAAGTCAAAAAAATACAATTAAAAAAAANATTACGGTCTTAGATTAAATGACTAAATTGATTTCACATACATGAAAGATAAATTAAAAAAAATCCTTATCTATATATATTTTTATGTATTTTTTTTTTATTGCTTAGATGGGTGGACGAGCTCACAGCCCACCTGGTGTTAAGTGGTTACTGGAGCCCATAGACATCCACAACGTAAATGCGCCACCCACCTTGAGATACAAGTTCTAAGGTCTCAAGTATAGTTACAACGGCTGCCCCACCCTTCAAACCGAAACGCATTACTGCTTCACGGTAGAAATAGGCAGGGTGGTGGTACCCACCCGCGCGGACTCACAAGAGGTCCTACCACCAGTAAAAAATGTATTATTTATTGTAAATTAATAGTTTTAATGTAAAAGTTTTATGTAACTAATTAACTATTTAACGCAATGCTTCGACCATTTGGTTTACAATGTCTACGATGTCAATATTTACAATTTAGAATGTCTTTTGGATCCAGTAGTTTCAAACTGGGTGACCCAGGACTTCCCCTACCCTTCTAGAGCCATACAAAATAAGAAAGAAGCTTCCCAATTGTCTACAGCTCGTCAATCGACTTAGTAGATAAGTGTCATATTGTCAAAATCACATCGCATTATTGTGTCTGTATTAATTTAGAAAATAAATTATTGAAGACAAATCATCATCTGGCCCTAAACTAAGATTACGTGTTCTATGCGAACCAAAAAGTCCTATACATACTTATCTATATACGTTCAAATGAATACAAATATAAATATTAAACACCCAGACAAAGACACGTCATTACGGATCCTCCCGATCCATTAACGGTGCTTTTAGGTACCTCAAGCACCGGTCACCGTCCTCGCCGAACCCGTCGCTCGCAACGAAGGGCTCGGCGAGTAAATTAATCCATAGACAGAGCCCACTGAGTTTCTCGGCCGATCTTCTCGGTGGGTCGCGTTTCCGATCCGGTGGTAGATTCTGCGAAGCACTGCTCTTGCTAGGGCCGGTGTTAGCAACACCTCCGGTTTGAGCCTCGAGAGCTCACCTACATGCTAGGGTAAAGCTGAAATAGCCTCTCAAGACTATCAGCATGGGTAGGAAAAAAAAACAGATAAAGAAAAAACAAACTTGTTTACTACACGAATATCTGTATAATGTGAGAATCGAAACCACAACTCTCGGCCCAGCACCAATTACCGTTCTTTTCCATTGAAATTAATCAAAAATAAAACAACGGCTTAGGAATGTGACTTTATTGATATCAGTTTTAAAAATTCACAAGAATTTTACGAACAATTTTAATTTTCAATTCCAGTGGTGTAAAGTATATTTTCAAAACAGTTAGTAAAAGGAAACGATGGACCAGCCGAAAAGCTCTGGTTGACCATCGACTTCGCCGGCGTTCGAGTAGGCACGTCGGTCTCCTGCACTGTCGGCAGTTCTACTTAGCTTCAAGCCCTGATTGTATTGACGGTTATAGATGTAGAACAGTAATTTGCCGTTAAGCTGGACTGGCTTCAGGTACCACTCATGTCTGCGGGTATCAGCAAAGTTATCTCCGAAAACAGCGTGGTCGTTTTCACCATCAGCATCCACCCCTAGCTTCAAGTATTGCCGACGCCGAATGTTAAAGATCTTGAAGTAAACCCTATTGTCTTCCCAGATAGGTACAAACTTCCAGCTGATGTTCTCGCTTGTCTTATCGCTGCCGTCACCGTATGCGGCCCTGTCGTTTAGTTCGTCGGCAGCACCAGCGAGTTTTAGCGCGAGGTCATCACGAATAGTGATGATTTTAACGAGATTCCCGGAAAATATCAGTTTGAATTGAGCAGGGAACAGCTCCTTGACAATCTGTTGGCCCTCATCAAACTTCCACAGCTTGTAGGCAAACTCTAAGATATTTCTTTTGCCATCTTCTATGAGTTTGTTGACTGCTTTCACGATGACGTCCCCCCTCGTCTCTCTCTTAAGATGCACGCTAGAAGTTACAGCGGTTCCGTAGTCCTCAGTGTTGACTGCGTCGTAAATAACTTGTAAATACCTGTCACGCGAAGTCACTAAGCTCACGGCGCCAGAATTTCTGGGGATTGCCAGCACACAGATGGCCAACACCAACAAGAGCTTCATAATGTTTATTCCCTGAAAAAAAATTGACTCGTCTTTGTTAAACTGTATAAATGGTTGCGGAACCCGGTCGCACTGTAACACCGCGCCACCTATCGTACTTTTATGGAACCAGAAACTTTCCCTGGAATGCCAACAACAACAGCTTAAGATAAAAAGCGGGTGAGTCGTTAAAAAATCTCAGTATAGCTTTGCCGGAATTTGTTAAAGTTAAATTAATAAAAAATGTTGACGGTCGTTTTATCTGAACTTTGGATGATGTAATAGTAGCGAGAGAGAGAAAAGATGGTAAATCAATCGTCTAAGAAACTATTTTCTATCAAATAAATAGCACTCACTTCTATGCTTCGCTGTGGTTCGTGTCTGACTCTAAAATGAATACCCATGTAAATTGTGTTTACACTTCTTTATATACCATTTAGACGATCATTTCAAAACATTAAATTTTAATCAGTAGGAGGTCAAATGTTATTGAAATACAATAAAAATACGAAATTAGCGTTTGTAAAAAAAACATTGATTAGGTTTTTTTGTTCACCAATCCGCACACCAAGCGTGGCGACTATGGTTACATGAATTTAGATGATAAAAGTACTGTGATGATTAACATTAAGGGGTAAGATTCCATCGTCTCTTGAGCGTGTTGTATAAGATGGGCCACATTGAAACGCAGAAAAAAAATCGAGTGGTAAGAAAGAAAAATCTGGAATGAAAAATAAAACCCTTCCATATTCAACGTCAGATTCTTCTTTGGCATACCGGAAACACATACCAGACAACAACACATACATACATAGATGCTGACACCGAAAACCAAAGATCATGGAGTATAGAAATCTAATATCTGTCTATTAACTGTTTTTGAATGTAAATTGTATTTTGGTGTGCAATAAAGTGTATCTCTCTCCTTCTCTCTCTCTCTCTCTCTCTCCTTCTCTCTCCCTCTCTCTCTCTCTCTCTTTCTCTTTCCCCCTCTCTCTCTCTCTCTCTCTTTCTCTCTCCATCTCTCTCTCTCTCTCTCTCTCTCTCTCTCTCTCTCTCTCTCTGTATCTATTTTAATTGTGAAAATTTGTATGTTTGATACACCATCACGAAACAAACACTGTATTTAATTGGAATTTCGTACTTTTTTTTGCTTTCGAACCTCCTACAATGTGTCCGCCCTTAAGGGGAACACGGGGTATGTGGCACTTGATGGTCTGCAGATGTTGGGAGCAGACCGCGGGCCTAAGAATGTTCTACAAACAGAGTTTAACCAATACTACCAGGATTTAATACTTTTTACCAGGGTAATTTACACGATTTGAAAAGTTATTAAGACCAGGATATTGGGTAAGGTTGAATGGAAATTATAAAACAAAATATATCAATAGTACTGAATTGAAAATTTATTTACTATAGCTTAGTTGAATTCAGAGATGTGCCAACCGTAGAGTTCTGGTTGGCCATCCACATTGCCGTAGTGAGAGTACACGATACGGTCTCCATCGCTGTCGACCGCCCTACCGAGCTTCAGGGCCTGATTGAATTTGCGATTGAAAATGTAGAACAAAACATCGCCTTCGAGATTGGCGGGCTTCAAGAACCACTGGTGTCTGTGGGTGTCCGCTACGTCGTCGCCATAAGTACCGTGGTCGCCTTGACTATCTGCATCCGTTCCCACTTTCAGGCTTTGGTGGCGGAAAACGCTGACGATCTTGAAGTAGACCCTGTTGTTATCCCACAAAGGAACAAACTTCCAGCTGACGTTCTCACTTGTCTTGTCGTTAGCATCGCCATAGGCTGTCCTGTCTTTTTCCGCGTCCAAGTCTTGTCCGAGTTTGATTGCGAGATTGTCCCTTTTAGAGATAATCTTGACAACGCTCTCAGATAAGATCTGTCTGAACTGAACTGGGAAGTGGTTTTTGACGATCTCTTTGGCCTCACCGAACCATAGTTTGTAGGCGTAGTCTAAGACGTTCCTTTTGCTGCCTCTGACGAGTTTCGTGACGGCGTCTTCGATGATGTTTTCTTTCGACTGTCTCTGGAGTTGCAGAGTCTGAGCAAAGGCGGTGTCGAAGTCAGCGGTGAGAATGGAGTTTATGAGTCTCTCCTCTTCGGCGCTGACTGGACCGGAAAGAAAGTCGAGTTCCACTTCTAAAGCAGCGCCGCTGACAGCAAGCACGCACATCGAAAAAACAACCAAGAACTTCATATTGATGCCCTGTTATGCAAGAACGAAAAATTCACATATTACTCATCATCATCATCATCATCATCATTATCTTGCCCTTCTCCCAGTCACCTGGGGTCGGCGCAACATGTTTTCTCCTTTCGTACTCTTCTATCATATACCATTTCTTCGCTCACTCCCCTCTTACCCATATCGTCTTTCACACAATACATCAATTTCTTCTTAGGTCTACCTCCTCCTCTATATCCTTCCACATTCATAGTTAACATTGTCTTACCAACCTAATTTTCATTTCGTCTCATTGCATGTCCATACCATCCCAAACGCTCCTCACTCCTCAGCTTCTCTGTCACAGGTGCCACTTTCAGACTTCCTCTAACATATTCATTCCGTATTCTATTCATTCTCGTTACTCCATACATACATCCATCGCAACATTCGCATCTCTGCTGCATGCAATCGCCTTTCATCCGCCACTTTTCAAAATTCACATGTTACTGTTTACATAAAATTAATTATTTGTAGTTGAACGAAATCTGAGGCTATAACTTATACAATATAACGTAGATTTTGACCTTCTTTTTTTGGGTGCTTAGCTGGTTTAACTACGGCTGCCCCACCCTTCAAACCGAAACGCATTCCTGCTTCACCGCAGAAATAGGCAGGGTGGTGGTACCTACCCGTGCGGATCTTATATGTATTAGGTTCACGGTAATCAAGAAAACTGCACTGTATATATATATACATATATGAAACGTCGAAAATTATAACAACTTATTATATACTTCATTCAATTTAAAATGACATATTTTTCAATGACTTAGTCGAGACTTGTCTTTGTAAGACTAGATCCATAAGCAAAGTCGCAAGACGTTTGCCACCAGTAAACCTTGACCTTGTCTCATAGTGTGTAGAGTCCAATAAACAATTGATTCAAAGTTTTTCATAGCGTTATTTATCATCACAGGTGCACACACTGTTAATAAGTTTTAAATATTATCAAAAATTGTTAAAATAATTCATTACATTCGTACAGAGTTATCAGTATAGAGCACTTACCGAGTCAGTTCATACCAACGTATGTGACGAATATTGATATCACATTTGTCTTATATAAAATATTTGGAACCTCTAAAACACGAAATATTCATTATCATTGACGCGGGTCAAATGTCGTTCACTAGTGATAATTTTGAAGCAATTGTGCTTAGAAATCAAATCTATTTTACACAGAAATATAATAATGTGTGACCGATGATTATGAAATCTCTGATAGTAGCATCAAAATCTATTACTATTACTGGTGGTAGGACCTATTGTGAGTCCACACGCGTAGGTACCACCGCCCTGCCTATTTCTGCCGTGAAGCAGTAATGCGTTTCGGTTTGAAGGGTGGGGCAGCCGTTGTAACTATACTGAGACCTTAGAATTTATATCTCAAGGTGGGTGGTGCACTTACGTTGTAGATGTCTATGGGCTCCAGTAACCACTTAGCACCAGATCGGCTGTGAGTTCATCCACATACCTAAGCAATAAAAAAAATATTAATTAAAAGTTGATTACCGTCTATCAATGAGCAGAAAGACTGGCGGTGATAGGGTGACTCTATATTTCTAAATAATTTAATAATAATTAAATTAGTTCCTTTAAATTGCATAACAGTTTCTATTGTTAGTTATTTATAAGTTACCTTACAAGTATCTTGAAAATGTCGTAAGCGAAATTCAGGCATCTGTCAAATATCTTGCGTTGCATGATGGCTACCCGCCACAGGAAGTTCATTCTAAAGTTGTTTAGTACGTGGCAGAAAAGATCTTTGAAAACGCACTGTGGATAAGCATAGTGGTTTAAACGTTGGCAATTGTTAATTTCTTTTCATTGTTTTATAAGAAAAATTGACGACAACGAGAAAAATAAAGAACGAACAACATATTTTTTTCAATACTTCAAATTTCAGTTGAACTGTACATGTTTCTTTTATTTGAAAATGATATCTGATTGTAAAAGTCCTGTTATATTTTTTACATTTTCATAATAATATTCTCGGTGTATAATATTCTTGAATCGAGTCGTGTTTTATTTCAAAATGTTCAATGTTTAAGGGCATCGATTATGTGAACTATATATTTTTGACGTGACAACGTCTTATAATTCGATGGAGCCGGCTGCACGCACGAAAAAACATGACTCATGCGGCGTTACCTCGCTCTGAGGCGTTCCATTTAAGGCTTGAAGTGAAAGCGAGAGCGCGCAACGAGCGACAAAGAGGCACGATCGGCCTCCGCGTTCGGCAGCGTTCGACATCTGTCTTTCTCCTACTTGAGTGAGCGATGCATCCTCGTGGACAGCTGCTATACAATAATACATTTACATGTTTTCGTCAAGTATGAAGTTCAGTGAAAAGTGAATGTGGTGTCAATTGCTTATAGCAACGATAATTGCGGCGATAAATGTAATGATTCTTTCGATATTAAATATACGTTCAGTGATATATTGTCGAATATTCGTGCTTTCATCATTAAAATAAATAGCATCGGTCCGCTAGTGCAGCGATTGTAGGTTATGCTATAATTGACAAAACTATAACAACTAGAGGTCCCGCAGTAGTCGAAATTCGACTATAATTAATTGGAATTGTAAGTTTGTACACTATTATGATTGTATTTTATTCTCAATTTGTCGTCACACAGCTACACAATTTGTACCACAACATCAAGACAAAAGTTTGACAATAAATAGTATGCATGCATGTGTGCGTCAAATGCATGGTATGTAGTGTGTGTAATATTTTCTTTATTGATTTAAAGTATCTTTTATGCATTATTTTAAAAAAATATTAGCATTGTGCACTTCTTCTTTGTATTCTCTATAAGTGTAGAAAATTTCATACTCCTCCGTCCGCGCAATTTTCGTAAAAAGGGATACAAAGTTTTTGCTTCACGTATTAATATATAGATAAGTTAACAGAACTATTTCACGATGAGTAAAAAACCATTCCATCCGTTTTTTACTTATGACGTTGTCGCGTTCAACTATCGTCAGTAAACCGACTTTACAGACAACCGATTTTTTTCACTTGAACAAAGGACGCGGGTTAACGAAACAAGAATGAGACAAACTCACAGCAGTATTGAGAAAAGTTTTATATTAATATTATCTTGTATTAATATTATGACGACTTGCACGATCTATTTTGTAGTCACAAGGGATCTTACGTGTTCAGCGTTCTAAATGCTAATATGTTAGCACTGAGGTGAAAGTAGAAGCAATTCTGGGGGATTATGGTGATGGTGGCTTTTATCGAATACACCTCTACCAAAGGCAATCGATTTTTTCTTTAACATTCCATAATGCTCTTCTTGTATTTTTTACTGATCATCGGGTTTAAATGACCACAAAATAATTTAGGCGCAGTTAGTCGAATATTATAGCTATGCAATAATAATAAAAAGAATAACAATTTTAGATGATATCCGTTGGAGATATTGTCAAAAATGGAGGTAATGAAGAAATTCTCAGGAATAAAGTTGAGTCCGGTAAAAAAAAACTATGTTTGTTAGATCCTTAATTTTAGAGTTTTTCAAAATAAATTTACGTATTCACAGGTTTTCGGGTGATCATTTACCGATGGAAGGCATTGTATAATAATTATAATAAAATTTAAATTAATATACCGTACATATTAAAGATATATCAGAACAAATAAAATGATAAACTCCAAATGTATATTTACCTCCTTATATCCACATTTTACTTACCTCTAAAACAATTAGACTTATTAGACCGCATACCAATTGTTTCCAATTTGATTTGCTTCAAAGTCAACGACCTGAGCGAAGGAATCACGATGGAACACTAAACACATCAGATAATCACACGCACAGACCCCAAACAAAGCAATATTTTCCTAGCGGGGTGCCACTTTGAGAGCCATTGACTTTGACCAGAGAGAGTTACGTACCTATCCTCGCGGGAAACTCAAATATATTTTCTACACCCCACATGTTAAGTCTAATTTGGGACGGCAAGCACCTCTCCGTAGAATAATTGATGAGTATCATTCGCTTATTACAGTAATACCCGATCTTTATGTGTTCTACGATAAGTTGCGTGTATTTAGGAACAAAATAGAAAAAGAAAGAAAAAAACGCACCTTAACTTTAATCGTTAATCATTTGTTGTTTTATAACTGACTTGTTGCTTGATATTATATTGACATTTCTTCTTTTCTTTTTATTTGTTAAATTTGAATTTCAAGGATGTTTTCGTTAGGTATCCTTTTTATTTTTGTATCCCATCTTCGGGCCGATGAATTCCCAATGTACGCCGTTATTGTCACATGCATCAGGCCATATGTGAAATAGTTTTATTTTCAATGTTAAATGTTTGTGATGTGGCAGTACTTTTTTTTTAATAAATAAATAAATAGCTTTCATTGTTATTGCACCAAAATTTCTAAAAACTGTCTTCTCATTGATTAGAATACCATTGTTTCAAGACACATTAACTTTCCCTTGGCTTACCTGAATCTCATTGTTCTGTCTTTTCGTATGGCGGACGCTGAGGATACTGGTAATATAAAAGTTACAAAGGTGGGAACGGGTGGCGAGTAAATCACTGAATTATAAAAAATCTGGACTTTTTTTTCATCAAAACTACGACAGCATAAATGAGTTTAATATCATCAGTTAAATCCACTGATAGTTGGTTTTTGTTCGTAAATAGACGAGATGGAATTTCACATTTCAATTACCTGAAGTGTCAATTCAAGAAATTACCTTACTCAATTTACCGCACGGTCTATATTCCAATAAAAATTCACATATAAAGTTTTAAATCGAAGCGAAAATATGCTCATATTCTTACTAACGATTCAAAGCTCTTACCTTCGTACAGCCAATCGGGTACACCGTTGTGAATGGTACCGGGTACGCCGGTATCCGTAACCCGATACCCAGTGGAAGACCTCGGCGCCGGGCGGTAGTATATATCGTAGTCTTTCACGGTGATCAACCCGTGACCCTTAGGAGTCCACGTGGCTAAGAGAAGAGCAGGGCCCTCGGTGAGAACGCCTCCCACTTCATCCGGCAGCGGCGTGAGGGGATACGCTTCACTGCAAAAGACGTTCCATTACTTATGACTTTTCTGTATGAAAAACGCGAAGAAAGGCGTCTTTTACTGGTGGTAGGATATCTTATGAGTCCGTACCGGTCACTGCAACCAGCTTGCATATTTCTGTCGTAAAACTGTAATGCGTTTCAGTTTGAAAGGTGAGGTAGCGGTTGTACTGCAAAAGTCAGACTTAGAACTCAAGTCTCAAGGTTTTTTTTAGCATTAGCATTTGCGTTGTGGGCCATGAATTCGTCCATCAATGGAAGCAATAAAAAAACAGAACAGTGAAATTAGACTCGACTAGATTAAGCTTTGCTGTACATCATGTATGACGCTTAGTGGCAAACCCGGATCGCTTTGTTATCTGATCACTTTGCTTGACTACTTGCATATTTCCGCGAATATAGGGATTGGATCCCGAACAATCGACGAATAGTAGAAACGCGAATGCAGGAAGCGCGAATAAGGAGTTTTACTGTATTTACAGACTGGATTAAATTTTTCTGAATACCAAGTATGAAGTTTAGTGACAGTCCCGGATAACTTTGCTTCATATATAGTGCACAGTAAAGTGTACTCTAGTCGAGTCAAATCTCACTGTTGTGGTTTTTTTATTGCATAGTTACATGTATATAATTCCTAGTTTACCCTTCGAACGGCAAGTCACAAATGTCGTCCACTTGTGCACATAAAAACGGGATGTACGATTTTGAGAAACCACTGAGGGTTTGTATTTATATCATATAAGTTTGTTAAAATTGTTATTTTCTTATAAGTACTTAGAAGAGATTATATAATTCCATTAATAATCTGTTTACCAACACAAGTCTATTTCTATATATAATTTGCCTTACTTATGGCGAATTCTGTTACTGTCAAATGCAATAGAAAACTTATTGTGAATGCTTGAGACTTGAAGTATAATAATAATCGTATTGTCATATGGTATATAAAACCTAGAGAACCTTAGATGAAAATTTCTCTCGGAGGGTAGCCATTATAGAGCACAAGATATTAGTCTGATGCCCGAATCTCGCTAACGACATTTTCAAGATAAGCTTACATACTAGTATATATAAGTATCGACACATTTGCACCGTCGTCCTACGGAGCAGTATCACGCGCTCCGTGGAAGATCTTCCCTTTGTCGTTATACACAGATACTTTTCAAAAGATACTATACTGAGACCTTAGAACTTATATCTCAAGGTGGGTGGCGCATTTACGTTGTAGATGTCTATGAGCTCCAGTAACCACTTAACACCAGGTGGGCTGTGAGCTCGTCCACCCATCTAAGCTATCAAAAAAAAAAAAGATATGATTATGGAATCCCAATCACGTCGAGTAACATTAATAAATATCCCTCAACATCATAGTTTCATTTTAACATAGTCAATTTCGTAGTTGGTCTTATTGACAAAGCATTCTCTGATATTCAGAGAATTCCACGCATAAGGCATTGGAAGTGGGTCAGTATTTAAGGTGAAATATGTTTTATAAGATAGAGCGTACGTATGATAATTTAAATTTAATGTTATAAAGCTACATTCGTATAACTAACTAGCGGCCCGCTCCGGCTCCGCTCGGTTCTTTAACAAAAATTTCAACGATATTTGACGTTGGTTTATTTTTTTTAATAAAAGAGCACTTATTGCGGTATAACTACAATAGTTAGACATATGCTGTCGTGACACTTTTTGTAAATAATAATGTGTTCTACAAAGTCGTAGTACATTATTTTATTCTATGTCACTCGGGAATAGTTTAGCTTTCAAACAGTGAAAGAATTTTTCAAATCGGTTTAGTAGTTCCGAATACAAACAAACAAATCTTTCCTCTTTATAATTTTAGTATAGATATCGTTTTTATGTATTTTACTGGAGTGGTACGCAGTGGCTTGGCTATCTATGCCCTTGACATTGACATCCATGATGCTGACCCTTCAGAATCTGGTGGACGGTATGTCGTTTTTAACAGACTAGGTCTAAAGACGCAAAAAAGATGTGTGGTGTCGTGGGATACCGGATAGGAACGAAGTTCCTTAGTATAAAAATATTAATTTTAAGTTCTATTCGAGGTATAATGAAAATAAAACTGGAGGTTCGCAGAAACCCACGGTCATTCGGTAACGTGCGAACTTATTGTGGTACACTTCATACACGGTCGTTTGCATAAGAGTTAATGTATTGCGCAAACGAACGCTCTGAGATCGTGGTCAATGAATGATAAAAAAAATATATTTTTTGTACGTTATTACAAAATTAAGTCGTACACTGTGTGCATTACTAATTTGTACGTTATTACAAAGTTAAGTCGTACACTGTATGCATTACTAATAAAAGTCTTACGTTACGGACGTTTTTTCCCGGTTATGGTACCCCTCCGCATAGACCCATAAGGAACTTCGTTCCAAAAAAAAATAATGTTATCTAATGAAAAATATAAGATATGGCCTAAAGGACTCTGCGACCGATCTGTTACTTGATTTCGAGTGCCCATAATACGCAGAATTCGAATTCCACAAACAGTTCATCATCGTGATCGTGTACCGATTTACTGCCCCCATGTTTAGAAAGGGATTTCGAAGTGACCCAAAAAAAGGCAAAAAAAGTCCTATATTTTTAGCCGCGTAGCAGCCTTGTGTTCCTACTGATGACTAGACCACATATAAAATAATACTATTGAAGCTCCAACCATATGTATATGTATATGTATACGTAGGAAACGGCATTCAGGCTTTGGTGTCCATAAGTTCCCTTACGCACTTATCCTACATACAATGTAGAATAGTTCTGCTACGCCATCGTTAAGCTGCTACGATAATTTAATGCATACGGGCTACGACGCTACGTAGCGACAACGACACTTATAATAAACGCGCTACGCAGCTACTTTGCTACTACGATACTTAATGTATAGGTGCTACGTAGCTACGTAGCGGCGATGCTATGACGCTACGTAGCTACAACGACACTTATAATATACGTGCTACGCAGTTACTTTACTCCTACGATAATGTATAGGTACTACGTAGCTACGTAGCGGCAATGCTATGACGCTACGTAGCTACAACGACACTTATAATATACGTGCTACGCAGTTACTTTACTCCTACGATACTTAATGTATAGGCGCTACGTAGCTACGTAGCGGCGATGCTATGACGCTACGCTATACATAATTTTTACGCCGAACAAAAGGTGAAATGGAAACAGTAAGAAACAATGCCTTTGTTTACTCGCTTTTACAGTGTTCAATACATTAACACAATACCTTTATTGTGGATATCGTTTACACTTGTCCATTTTTGTTGCTGCTTGGATATTTTTTTTGAATAGGCGAGTTCATTCTATAGACCTATTTTGCTAACCAATCAAACAATGCTTTGATTTTAGAAGCGTCGAATAGAAATTGCTATCGGCAGGCTACCTCCGATTTAAAAGAGCGACAACAATCATATGCCAGGTGAGTTGTAAATTTCTTTAAACTTTAAACATAACATCTTTGTTATTGTTGAGTAAACACATTATTTTTTGTATTTTTTTGTACGGGTATGTTGTCGCTGCATAGGGCAGTGTGGGAAATTTCGGTCCTTTAAAAAACTCGGTGTGATTTTGTAAGTCCTTCCTATTTTACCGCTTGATTTGTTCTTTTAGGATAGCTTAACCTTAACTTATTAGAAGCTGTATTTAGATAGTTAGGTATATGTGTGAATAAATTTAATTGAATAAGCTTCGTTCTTTAAGAAGGAATTCTACGATTTACTTTGAATTTCATGAGTCGTAGACATAATTCAATCAAACCAGTTTTCGTGGTCACGGATGAATAAAATATTTTTATTTGCGCGTAGGCATTTACGTTGTAGATGTCTCCGGTAACCACTTAACACCAGGTGGGCCGTGAGCTCGTCCACCAATCTAAGCAATAAAAAATAAATCTCGGAAGTAATATGATGACAATAAAGTAAAATGAGATTTGATTGTAAAGGTAGATTTAATTTTAAAAAATCCGCTTAAATGCTGAAAACATTAAAGGGTGATTAATTAAATAACAAGTTTAACAATATTTACTATGTGTATGTGCATTACTATAATTCTCATGTTGTATTTCTTATTTTAGCTGTTCTACACACACACTCATCACTTTTAATTATTATTCTCATAATCCTCTCGCAGGTCTGCTCGAAGAGATTTCTTAAAGAAATAAGCAGTGCCTTTGTACATAATTTTCCTGTTACTCTGTACTGTGTCTTCTTTTTTGTGTGTACATAAATAAAATGAAATAAAAATAAATAAATCAAATTCGGTAACAAACGATCTTCGAAGCGACAGCTAAACCATTTGGACAACTAATAGACAGCCAGTTAATCGGGTATACGAATTGTTACGGTACGCTTAAACTATCTGAACAGATTTATCCGATTGCAAGGGTCAGGTGTTTTCAAACTGCCGATTACCCTGAGGCTTAGCGTTGATCACAGACAAGACTAAAAGGACGAAACTCGAGACAGTTACATTTAATATAACTAGAGGTCCCGCAGTAGTCGAAATTCGACTATAATTAATTAGAATTGTAAGTTTGTACACTATTATGATTGTATAATCTTCTATAATCTCAAATTTCGCCAAGGCTACACTATAAAATAATATTAATAATCACAAACAATATTTAATCTATTCTCAATTTGACCACAGACGTCAAGAACAAAAGTTTGACAATAAATAGTGTGCATGCGTGTGTGCGTCAAATACATGGTATGTAGTGTGTGTAATGTTTTCTTTATTGATTTAATGTATCTTTTATGCATTATTTAAAAAAAATATTAGCATTGTGCACTTCTTCTCTATATTCTCTATAAGTATGGAAAATTTCATACTCCTCCGTCCGCGCAATTTTCGTAAAAAGGGATACAAAGTTTTTGCTTCACGTATTAATATATAGATGTTTCAGTTTTATTATACGGCCTTTTGTATCGGACTAAAATAGCACCGGCCTATATTT